TTCTGGATTTGGTGTTGCAGGGGAGATTAAGAGGGCTAGGAAGGTGTTCAACGAAATGGTTAAGGAAGGAGTGCTTCCTTCTGTTGCCACTTACAATGTTTTGATTCAAGTTTTGTGTAAGAAAGATAGTGTAGAGAATGCTGTATTGGTGTTTGAAGAAATGGTGGGCAAGGGTTATGTGCCCAATTCCATAACGTATAATTTGATGATCAGAGGATTGTGTCACGCAGAGAAAATGGATAGAGCAATAGAGTTGTTGGAAAGAATGAAGCAAGATGGGTGTGAACCAAATGTCCAGACCTACAATATTCTGATTAGGTACTTTTGTGATGCTGGCGAGATGGAGAAAGGGTTGGATGTATTTGAGAAGATGGGTGTTGGGGATTGCTTGCCAAACTTAGATACTTACAATATTTTGATTAATGCAATGTTTGTGAGGAAGAGATCAGATGATATGTTGGTGGCTGGAAAGCTGTTAGTTGAGATGATTGATAGGGGATTTATGCCTAGGAGACTGAGTTTCAATCGAGTTTTGGATGGGCTTTTGCTTACAGGCCATCAAAGTTTTGCGAAAGAGATTTTGAGACTGCAGAGTAGATGTGGACGTGTTCCGCAGCAGTTCAAACTATGAAGTATCTGGTTATTTTGATTTAAACTGGAAGGAATAAGGAAATGCCTGGATCTTATTCTTTGTTTATGACAGAGCCTTTCGAACCCTTTTAAGATCCAGAAATGTTGATACAACAAAATACTAGTATGGAGGAGGTGTGGCATATGATTCAAGGGCTCTGGTAAATTCAAAGATAATGTTTTTTGAACATGCTTCTTGTTATGTATTATTGAAAAGAATCAATACACACGAACATGATGCACTGCATGGAACTGATGAGATCTCTGAGCATCAAGTCAAAAAAGTGCAGAACCTCTAGAGCCGGTAATGCAAAGGAGACAAGATCGAGTAATGAAACTTGAGAATTAATCCATGGAAGTCTTTTTTATGAGTGATCTTGCAACAGCTAGGTCTTTTATCATTCTCCGAAGTACCTGGCTCTTCTCTTGGAGGTAGTATGCTCGATCGACTCTCTGAGAGTAGGTTCCTCTACATCTTCTTGACAAACAAGATATATGGCATCTCTCTGGCAGTCTCCAACTTCTTGGTATGTTCTTCAAGCTCAGAACATCAAAGGATGAAATCCTTTACCCACTACCACCAAGACTTGGATCATCAATTCTTTTTTATATCTTAGTGATAGGATACATATAATTTAGTTATAATTTATATAGCTAATATATAACTGACTTAGATTTGTACATTTTCTCAATTCTAGAACTATGAATTTTTCAAATTAAAAAAAAAAATTATAAATTTGTGTTTCCATTTGTGAATTGATTGAAATAATTTACCTTGTCAATGTCAAAATCAATGATCCTTTCTCACCAAACTCACATTAGATGAGATGAGTTGATTAAGTCTCCTCTTCAACTTTACGTGCCTCATTGAGGCCATCCAAAAAAACAAATCATTTCTTCTGCTAAGATACAAGTAAACAGCTCTAAGTAATATTGAGTTTTTTTATCTCTCTAAATTATAGAAAAATAGAGGAAAAAGTACTTAAAAAATTTTGTGATAAATTTAATTTTTTTTACTTTCTAATTTGGCAGTCTATTAGTAAATAGTACTGTTGGCTATTTCTTATTAATAATCTTTTCATTGTTTATAAAGTTAAACCAAATAAATTATTTTTAGTTTTTAAATATTTGAAATATTTAATTGTGCAAACAAAAAGAACTTAAAAACCACTATTTTATGCAATTTTCTCTCTTTTTCTTTACTAACTTTTTAGTCAATTTCTTTTCTACTATATTCATTTAGTTATTTCAACTAGTTAATACTGCATAATAAAGGTTACACAATATAAATATAAAATATTCAAAATAAAGGAAATGAAATTCTAATAGTATTATTACATTCAAGTGAAAAAAGTTAAGCCAACCCCAAGAAATTAGTCCAATGTTGCATAAACATATATTTGCATACCAGGTTCACAGTTTGATTCTTCTAAGATGAAGTAAGAAAATGTTACTTCTAACGTGAATGATTTGTTTTTTACTTAACTAAGTAAAGATTTACTAATGGTGTGTAAAAATTAATTCAAACACATAAGCTTCAAGAAAAAATAATAATAGTAATTTAAGCCACTTTTCATATAATAGCTACAAAAATACTTTCCAAAAAAACTATGAAGATAATATTAATAAAGAAGATTAAGAAAGCTATTGACAATGATGAGATGCAAATTCTTTGGAGATTAAGAAAGTTATTCATAATCATGAGATGCAAATTCTTGGAATAATGTTTAATATATTGGATTGATTAGAATAATAGATGGATAATGCATTTTACTCTACTCTATTCAAATAGTAAATTCTTTTATGACTATCTATTTAGCCAATGTCCAATCTAATAGATATGAATCTTCATAATTTTTTTTATCTTTATCTATCTTTTAAAAAAATGCTATAACTGTCACCTCACAACTATTACTACTACCTTGGTGTCATTGTTGCTATCTTTTTCGATCATCATCATTACTATTTTATTATTATAGTTATTATAACTACATTCATCGCTATTATCACTGTCATTATCATTACTGTCATAATTACTTCGTTACCACCGACCTTACTATTATCACAATTGCCATAATACTATATTATTTATGGTTATTGTCGCTTTCACCACTACCCTTGTCATAACTTATCATCATCCACACAGATATTGCATGCACCATCACAATGACCATTTTCTCCATAACTATTACTATCATTCTTAGAACCAATATTATTACTACTCTTAGCATCATGGCCATAATTACAACCATCAACCTAAAATTGCTTTATTGTTGTTGTTATTGTTGGTACTACTAACATTACCACAATTATTATAATTGTAATGTCAATATATTATTATTGTTACTTTTAATATTTGTAATGTCAATATATTGAAGTCATTACGATCACTGATTAACAATATGAACTGAGAAAATAATAAGATGATGGCTCCATTATATTACTTGTTTGTTTCTTCAATCATCCTAAACATACAGTTGCTTTAAAATTTTACCTTGTGGTAACTAATCCTATCCTAGGTAACTTTCTTTTCATACTTTACCTATTACTTTGATAGAACTTGCAACCTTTTGATCTAATCGATTTGGAATGAAAATATTCCCCTATAATTTATGGAAGGAAAGATTATTTTGATAAACAGAGAAAACAATTTCAATCAACATATCTAATGTCCTCTGAATAAGAAAGTGACATGTAATTTGTTTGTTACCAAATTACAATTTTAACATGCCAATTCAAAAGTAGCTAGCATATTGACTCTGGTTGGAGGAGATAAATGTTTATAAATATAAAATTTTAATTTATTGTGATTTATTTTTATCTAATACAAAAGTATAAGATTGAGGCATAAAACCTCCAAATAATGGTACAGCTCCCCTTTAACAAAGATCACTGTGCAAAATCTAAATGCTCCATCTTAAGATCACAACTGGGTTAAATTGTTTCAGATCAATTTCTGCTAAGAGATACCTGCATAGTGAAAAGAACTTGTTTTGCTAAAAAGATTGTTTTAAGGATATTTTAATCAGTTAGTCCAATGATAAGGATATTTGAATGCAGGCGCTGAATGTTAATTGCTTATTAGTATGCATCTTGTATAAATGATACACTGAAAGACAATATTTGCCTTCTAAACTGCCAAAATAACAAGTAAATATACATATACACATACATGAATGCAGCTTTTTCTCAAGGAAACAAAAAAAAAAAGATCTGCCAAATGCAGCCTATATTCAAACTTCCAGAACTAATCACCAGACACTTGTTCACCTTTGATGCCTTTTTGGTGATGAAGAAATCTGTCAAAAGCCTTCTCCCAGGGGTAGGAAAGAGATGCTTCCAACACAGTCGAACCCTAGAACGTACAATAACCAAATAACATCACTTAACACTCAGAAAGTGGATCCAACTTCATATGAAAGAGTAGGATACTTTCAGGATTAAAAATCAAACCAACTAGTCACATAGTAAGACTTCCAGATTGTTAGACTTATGTATCATAGATTAAGCTCACTTCTCTATTAGTTTTTTTTCTCTCTTTTGGGGTGGGGCGGGGGCAAAGAGAAACACTTGTTTGTATGTTCGAATTAGGGATCGAAAAAAAATCCATGACTTGCCAAAACTGCCCCCTCCATTAGAAACAATAGCAGGTTTAAACTGAAACCAAACCAAGCTGCATCTGGTTGGAGTGGGTTTTTTAATCTATCTAATTAGTGCGGAGCAAGATTGTTCGAACTCCAACACAACTTTGTTTATTAATTCAAAAATAAAAATATATATATATTAAAAATATATAAACAAAATTTAAAAATCCTAACACTTCACTGCTCGTGTAATCTAGACTCTTCTCTTCTCTCCTTGACAGCTGGAAATTAGAAGACATACAGCGGAGGCAAAGCAGAGATGCAACTCTAGTTCGTTTGTCTGCAGGGTTACTTACTGGGTCAGACAATCTCCTTCTGAATTATTGGGGTTGTTATTGAGTACGAACTCGGTCAATGCGTTGGTGCTTGGCCGAGATAAAGTTTTTGACCAACTGGGCATGTTCGAGCACCTCCGCATATAAGCTGGGTCTCAACATCGCAACTCGATCATAAATGTTGGCACGAAGGCTTTTGAAAAACTTCTTAACTTTTTGGCTTTCAATGGTGACCATCAAAGGGACAAACCTAAATAGTTGAACAAAATGGGCTGCAGACTGGGCAACAACTTCCTTGACGAAGGTCGTGAAATTCCTCCTCTTTCTTTTCCCGAACATAGGCAGGAAAAAAGTTATAAAAAAAAACATCCATAAAAACTTCCCAAGTGGTAGGGATAGGCAGGAATTCCTTCTTAAGTCGCTATCAGTGTTCTGCTTCATCGTTTAACATGAAAACTGCAAGGAAAACCTTTTGTTCTTCGGTCAAATCTAGGACAAAGAAGAGCTTCTCTATCTGTAAGATCTAGACTTCGACTACTAAAGGATCAGGACCACCTTCAAAGTGTGGGGGGGTTACGTTTCCTAAATTCCGCTATATTGTGGAAGATGGATCGATATGTGTTCCGGTATTCAAAGCCAAGGAGTGGACAAGGGTTGATCTGATTTATTCCTACGGTTGCAGTTAATCCTTCGATGGCTCTGAAAAATTCTACAAATTTAACCTTGGTCGAATGATCCAAGGCTTTATGTCGCTCAGTATGCTCAACGTATGATCTTCCTCGCGTCATTCCTACAAAAGAGAGAAAGACACGAGTTGGTGGTCTAATCTTGAAAAAAAAATTTATTTCTTTCCTAAGTAATCTAAAAGATTCATCGAATTAAGGGCTCAGTGCAAGGGATTTGATCCGCAAAATTTTACTCTGATACCATCTGTGACATTTCAAGTGCTATTTAAAGTAAATGAGTGTCAAATACAGATACAAAATAACGAGCGTATGATAAAATTTATATAGTGGAACAAAATTATTACAAATCTCTTACAAATACATATGAGTTCTAATACATACATATATTGAGACTAAAAGTGGCTGCAAAATACAAATCAAAACATAAAGGTCACTCATTTCATTATGTTATCGGACTCATAAGAATATAAGAACAATCATGCATTCAAACTTGTGGATCTACAGATCCTCATAGACTTCCTAGGGTAGGTCAGTCTGCGGTTCCTCACGTTTTTCCTCATCTTCAGCGAGACATGGAAAAAGTGAATTTTATATGCTCAGTAAGAAAAACAGTATTAAATTAACATCGTAAGGTTTCAAAAACTAATTATTTTGACTTAAGAACTTACTATTTAACATTCTCGTTTACCTATCTCAAATTATGAAAATAATCTATTTATTAAGAAAACAGTATATTAATACAGACAATCAAACATATATCATGTCAGATAATAGAAAAAATCAAATAAATCATGAAATGCTCAGATTTCGTATCATGCTTCGCGAATTTGTTACAACTTCCATCTCCAATGGCATATACAAATTTCCAACTATTCAAATGGAATGATCAGATCATGTACAGATACGGCAATTTGCTCAGGCTCATTTCTGGTTGGCCAAACTATGGTACGATCTACTATCATGGTCATACCAGCCATAGTGGCCCTAACAAATATCTATAGTCACGACATTACTTATCCAAGAATAAACCCTACAGATAGTGTTATACCACTCTCGTCAGAGGGTACGCCGCCATCCACTAGGAGGAGTCTTACATATTTCTAGACCAGATAGGAGAGGAGAAAACAAATACCCCGAAGGACAAGGGGAATAGATACTCCTCAGAGATAAAAAGTATAACAAAACACTTGATGCAATATACATATCAATACAGATACACTTCGGACTATACAAACTTTATTCCACTTTTCTCTTTTTACTTTCTTTTGTACTTTTTTTTCATCAAACAATTATACCGATTTATTACATGCAATTCATCAAGTGTCTTCAGTTCACAAAGCATGCTTGAAAACAAAAACAATTCGACTCCTCTAAATACAAAGACATATAAAACAGGCAAAATCACAATCATATTAAATTAGTTTATCTAAAAAAATATTTCTTAAGACGTCGAAAGAAATACTAAATTTCTTACCGAAATCTTAATGTTTTCTCCTTCACCATTCTTCATTCTTTCTCTTCTTCTCTCACTAGACTACTATCTCTCTCTCTCTTTCTAAATTTTGAAAATTTGAAGAATGGAAGTGTGGGGAGAAATGGAAGGGGAAAGACAATTTATAAAATTTTGAAACTGTCGGATTCGTGCCAAGTGACGAAATCCGATGAAGAAAGAGGAGAAAAAGATGCTCAGTACAAAAATTGAGGGAAGAGGGCCTCCTCCACTGGCGGAGGTTGCGCGCCGCCCGAGGCAACGTCGACGCACTGCCGAAAATGGCAGTGCCGTGGCCGGCGCACTACAGGCTAGCTTGCAGGCAGACAGGCCTCCTATCACGCTCGTAGGGCCTAGGCGCGTTGGGTGCCGCACACACAGTGTGCAGCACCTATCCGCACACGCAGGCCTGACCTCGCGCTGTGCGCACGTCCCGCAGCTGCTGTGCGCGCATGCGCGCACGCACAATGCCCAGCACCCGCGTGGGCAATCTGCTTTCCTGCGGGATTTTTCCCGCAAGATTTCTTCCCATTTCGCCATTTTTTCCTATTTTTCTTAATTTTCTATAATTAATTTGAATAAGTTAAACGCAAATTAAATAATAAAATTTAAAATTAAATAAATTTAAATAAATTTAAATAAAAGCAAAATAAATAAAAATTAACCAGATTTACGAATCACGATAAATATTAAGTAGAGTAAATTAATTAAGTTTAATGTGGCTAAAAACCCGAATAAATAGAGTTTTCTAAATCATGTAAGCACAGTGATAGACGGGGTGTTACACAGCACCAGCTGAGTCACTTCCTTCACCTTCTTCCTTCTTATTGGCATCTTCTTCCGTCATCTCATCATCTGCATCTTCTTTGGCTTCACAAATTGCAGCTTCACACTCGACCCTCCAGCTGTCCAGCACCTCTCAGCATGCCTTCACAGCATCTTCGCAGCCATTGTGGCTTGCCAAAGAGACTTCCATCTTCAGCTTTGCAGCTTGCCAAATTACATAAGATCTGTTTAATTTTGTTTTCATTCTTCAGCGGCAAGATGCTCACTCAACTATCCTTGTTTTTTGGGTCCTCTATGACACTTGTCTTCTCTTCTGGTGAATGATTTTAGTTTATAAGAGTCAAAATTTTTGAATAATTAATGGGTAAGCTAAAGTGAAGGATCTAGGCTTCTCTTTTTCTAAATATTGTCTTTTTACTCATGTATAAATTTGGGGGGTTTTGCAGCTACTTAATTTTCTATGCACGGTGGATTTGGCTTTGCTTTTCATAAGGCAAGAGAAAAGGACCGAAGTAGACATTTTTAAACAAATAAATTTACTCAGGACGGGATGGCATGAGTTTCACTGTTAAACCCCCAGGTGCAAAAAAAAAAAAAAAGAAAAAATTAAAACCTACCCTAAATTTGGAACGGTTCCAGGACAACACCTTCTTTACCTGGGAAGGGTTTGGTTATGGCAAAACTAATTCCAAAACCCAATCTGTGGCAATCCCTGGTTTGGATTCGTACTAAAGAGACAAAGAAATGATGACCCAATATATCTAAACTTATTGCAAGGCACGGAGATTATATAGATATATATTTGTTTTGTGTACCTATTAGAAACATATCTGCAAACATATTCATTTTTATTAACATAAGAGAACTTCAACCCCCAAATCAGTCACCCTCTCCTCTGAGCAGTGGAGTCTTTGGTATTGCACTTGTTTGGCACTTAGCACTGCCAGAACCACCTCTTCAATTACATGTCTTATAAATTTGCAATAAATCTGTCATATAGATAGCTAGCACCTAAAAATCTCACAAAACTGCCTTAAATTAAATAATGAAGTAAATGAGATTAAAAGAGTTTCATAGAAAGTATTTAGCAACTAAACAGAGTTGCTCAAAAATACAATTGTTACGAAGTTCAGAATTAGGTGGATCTATTATGAACATACAGGTGCAGAGATAGCAATCAATTCTTCACAAGTTATTCTTTTTAAAAAAAAATACCTGACAAGTTATTTGTTCATCAAACAACTCTCAAGAACATTGGCATATACGCTGTTATACTGACATTAGAGTTCGGATGATCCTAATTTCAAAGTGTATATCTATCTAATATAATGCAGATCGTTCTAGAGAGCACCTAAATGCGGAAACAATTTAAAGGAAAGACATCAAATAATAAGTACCTTGTCAAGAAACACTTTGCTCCACATATTCACTTTTGATAGTAATTTGAGGTTGAAGGCAACAAATAAAATGTTGCTACAACAAATTTCTCGGCCTGTAGGAAAGGAATCATTCCCTGTTATATCCCAGCAATATTGCATTTTCACATAAGAGAGCAAGATATAGGCAAGATATATTTTCTATCCAGAATAAATTTTCTTCTTCAAATCTTCCCAAACTTGAGGTCCTCTAGGATGACGCTTTACATAGTGTCTCAAAAAATATTTATCTGAGCATGCAATTACAGTACTCAAGGACAAGGGGGAATTTATTTTTCCTTGATCTTTGAGCCAATTATGCATTGATAACCTAAGCCGCACCCTCTCAATTGTATAGGAAAGATATGATGGGAAAGCCACTAAAGTTGATATGGGATAACCCAGTTCATTTACCAGAAAATCAATCTTTGTCTCAAGGACACCTGTTGATTGATTAAGAATTTGAGGTGATACTATGACCATTTCAGAAACATCCTTCCTGTCCAAGCCAGCTTTCACAAGACAATCAAATCTCTCTTGAATTTCTGTTCCTTTGCCTCGGAAAACCTTCAATGCTTCGTTCAACTTATTTGAGCTCTCTACGTAACCCAAATCCAATAGGAACCTGGTCTTCATGCTTTTTGATTGGTGATCCTCTCTTGGTAATGGTTCAACTTTTGTTCCCAAAACCCATTTCTTCAATTCTTGTGGATTTTCTTGGATGAATTCACAAAGACGCTTTTTCCCAACATTCAAATTGGCGAGCAAGCTAAAAATTTCTTCAAATACATGTACCCAGCAATGGGAAATAAAAAGCGAATAATCTTCCCAACTCATAGCCAGTCATTTCAATCTCGTGTAGCAAATGAAAGCAATTCCTCAAATTCAATATGAATTTCCCACTTCAATTTGTGGGAATTGCTGAAAATTTGGGCATATTTCATTCATGGACAATCCAAATTTTATCAGAAAACCAATCAGTGTAAGTGTTCTGTCTCCTGAATTTCAAACAGGAGTCCTGGATACTGGCTGATATCCCCTACTCCTTTTTACCATAACCCTCCACGCTAAATAAGCTTAAAACTTCAAGCATTATACTCCAGTTATAGGAATTATGCTCTGACAAATGCTCATCAACCCAATTGATCTCCATTCCCATACTTCTCAGTAACTCTAACACCTTAGGAAAGTCCATGTTCACATTCCCAATCAACAGGGTAGGACTACAAACAAAAACTTTACACATAAATGACCGGCTAAACCCCAGTTCCTCATAAGCTTGAAGCTTTGATGCCAAAACCCCAAAATCATAAGTAAAAACTTGTATAGCTTGTCTATAAATCTTCCCTATCTTATTATGTGGAATTCCATAATGACATAAAACATGATAATTTTCTAATAACAACTCATCATCACTCAAGAAGATCAAATCGCGAGGCAGCAGAGGAGTAAATTCAGAAGGTTCCAAACCCAAACTCTCAAAGAAAGGCTCAAACTCATTGATAGGGTGATAACGTAAAAAACGGCTAACAGATCGCCCAACATCAGCCCCGATATCAATCTTCTTTAGAAGCTTTTCAAGGAAACAAGGTGCGTTTTTGCTTATATACTCGGCATCCATAAACTGTAAGCTCCTAGTACTATAAAAGTATTCTAGCAATGCATGTTGGGCTTGTTTTTTAACATCACGAGATATTCGGATACTCTTATCACCATCAACATTTGAAGTTCTGACAACAATTTCATTTGAAATTCCAACAACAATTTCAGACTTCTCAGTTCTCTCCGAATTCTCTGTTCCATAGAACCTGGGGTTTGGGGCAATGTAGACTGACCAGTTTGGCCAAAATGAGAATTTTGATGATTTAAGGCGGGTTTCCACAAAATTTGAAGTGACCCACTTGAGAATGGATGCTACTCTAACTTTTTGTACAAGAGCCATGACTTGTGCGGATGGTACATGCAGTAAAAAGCAGTTGATAAAGAATGAAGCAAAGGCAATAACAAGTTTGGTAGTTTGATGTTCCAGTAGAAAAAAAGAAGAAATTAGATCGATTCTGTCTCTTACCTGCAATCTGATGTTTCTGTTGCGAGTACTTTATGCTTGCTAAGACTTCTAAGGAACAAGTGACAACCTTCATCCATGATTGGAGCTTTGCGGAGGAATAGTCATTGTTTCTGCACAGGGTTTTTCGAGGGGCTTTGGTCGGGAAGCGTACTTTGGTCACTTACTGATAATCCAGTTCTTTTCTTATTATCTTATTGAAGTTTTGTTTGGCCAGACTAAACTTGGAACCCTAGTTCATCTTGGAAGTTCCAAGTGTATCCAATGGCGGGCTTGTAAACCTGTTGCAGAGATTAAATCACAATTAGAGAAAATACTTTTAAAAGTTCAGAACTTTGATCTTCTTATTAATTAATAGTTACCCTTTTAATCTTCTCAAAGAAAATATTTTTCCTTTTGATTATAATAATAAAAACTTTGCAAAATATCATATCACAACCTTATTAAGATCAAAATTAGCAAAATTTATAAGTGATATTTTCATTCCTTATTTCTTCAATAAATTTTCTAAGTGATTTAATTAGAGAAAAATTGTGGTAGTTATAAAATCTGAATTTTTTAAATTTAAAATAAAGAGGTAAACACAAAAAGAAAAAAAATATAATAAACAAAAGTAAAATATGAAATTCTTTTAATTTAAATTAGTTGTAACAAAGAAGAGACATATGACCGAATATTTCATAAAATGTTTAAGGTATAAATGATCACAATAAAAAATAAGTGATAAGGAGTTGTATGAGTAGATAGAACTCTCACGTCATATATTTGTATAAAATGATTATGAAGATCATTTTAATAGGGATTATTCAGAGTTTGTGGAAGGAGGAAGTTAGATGGAAAAAACTACCAATAATAAGAGCATATCCAGACATCCTATTAATATGGAAAGAGGGTTTTGATGAATGTATGGACATGCTGGAGGGTGAATGTTCAATCTCTTGTTTGATTATATTGCATAATGTTAGGACCACCCATAACAGCCACAAAGGGAGTTATGGACAATTCCATTTACGATCTAACTCCCTATTTTTAAGAAATGTGCATCAGTAAAAAACTAGCTTTTTGTGAGTCTATAAGAGGAGAAATTATTTATGTTTATCAATATGAAAATTATACCTAGTAAAATAAAATATTATTCTTTCATCTCTCACATTGAGTCAAGTCATCAATAGATTTAGGTTTTAGAGTGTGAATATTATCTAGTGCTCTAGTAGCATCCGAGAAAAGACAAAAGCAATCAAGAGCTTCAACAAGGGAGAATCGTTTTTTGTGGGCAATAAGCGAGCATCTGGACTTATTTCTTCTGTTTTAAAGTTAATCCAAATTACCTACAGTGGAATTAGAGTGTAGTTACTTGCTTCTGACCTCATAATAATCATGCTCCAATTTAGATTAAGTTCGTTGTTTTTTTTTATATTAATTTGATGATAATGAATCCAGAACACATGTTGTTTTGACTCATGTATATTTGTGCACAACATTCTGTTAATTACATGTAAATCTAAGTAATTTCATTTCATCTCTATACTATTGTGAGGTAAAATACACGAACATTGTTTTTTTTTTATCATCGAGAACCAATAACTCTCAATTTTTTCTTATGTGTGGAATACTAAATGGGCCTAATTTGTGAAGCCCAAAAACCCCAAATACCTTGGTAGGCTGAGTTTGTCAAGACGAAGTGACGAGTGACAATATGCACGGTTGTGACATCCCCAACACTAGTCATAAAATAATGGTGTTAAATATCAATACAGAATACAAGTGCATTAAATATAATATATGTAGCGAAAAAAATTTTGCATTATAAAATCTCTTACAAATATATGAGTTTCTAATTACATTTACAACTGAGCTATAAGTTGCAGTAAATACAAATACAAATACAAATACAAAGATACACTTCTATCATTATGTAAATAGACTCATTAGAGTGCAGAACAAAACATGCACTCGTTAACGATCATTGATATACGGGATCCAGGTAAGTTTCAATGATTAACTCAGACAACTCATTGCAAACATCATCTTCAACGTCATATGGGAGGGCCCAGCATAGAAAGGGTGAGTTCTATAGAACTCAGTAAGGCATGCAGTATTAAAATGACATAATTAAGAAATTTTATAAAATTAAAAGCATTTAAGAAGTACTTTTTTCTTTCTGCTTACCATTTTTTAACGATCCATTGATGTAAGAAAAGCATTTAATATCAAGATCATCAAATAATGTAAAGATAACTCATCAAAAGATAAAATCAAATAAATCAAACAAATATTGTTATTAAGTTTTTTACCATACTTCGCACGAAACTCGTTATGATTTTTTATTTATTGGCTATACAGACTTCCAACTACCATTGTGATGACTCTAACAGCAACTTACAACTTGCTCAACCACATCAGATTTGCAGCTCACTACACTATAACTTATTTGTGGCTCGCCATACCATAGCACGATTTATAACCACGGCTGTGCCAACCACTGTGGTTATAAAGACTATAACCACGGTCATACTTTACTATAATGGTCCTAAGATGTCCTATGCACTTTCACGTTATCATTAAAAGGGAGTGATCATCTTACGTTTTTTTAGACAAGATAGGGACAACAAAAGTATATAAAATAGACTAACAGACTAATTTATGTTTTATGTACCATGTCGTGTCAGCAATTTCATATAACCCATTCTTGCTTCAATTTCATTTCAATTTATTCATAACAATGTAAGCATTTTCAATACATGCATATAAACGACGTTATAAGAAGTAACTCATCACACCCTCAAAATCATGCCAAAATTATGCTAAAAATCAACATTCATTTCTTTAAAAATTATGTCACAATCATGCAATAAAACTAACATTCATTTCTTTATTTTCTAAAAATACATCTTAAAATATGCAAGAAAATATTGAATCCCTTATCGATGCCGACGACTCTTTGTAAGCTAGTCTATCTTCTCTTCAAACCTTTTTTCTCTCTCTAACTCTCTTCCTCTCTCAAGAATTTGGCTTTTGAAGGTGAAAATGGGTGAGGAAGAGTTGAGGAGGATGTCTTATTTATAAAGAGAGAGGATTGTTGTATTTGTGACACGTGTCGCGAATTCGTGAGGAGAAAGAAAATGATGACGGCTCCCAAGGCGATGGTGGCGGGGTAGGGCAATGGTAGGTCGGTGGCTCGAGGCCCAATGGGCTGCTCGGTCCAAGTCTGTCGTGTGCCCACACTACTCGCTGATACGCGGGCAGGGCTAGGCCCTCGAACACGCAGGCATCTTGCACTTGTCACGTCGTACAAATGCGCACCTGACACAACAATGCTGCATGTGGGATCTGCACATGGGATCTGTAAGCAGATAGCGCGCAATGCGGCACCCAAGCAGAGGGGTCATGCGCCTCACGCACACACCCAGCCAGCCTTGCCCATGTGCACCCGGGGCACTCCTGCATGGATGTATGGGCATGCTCGCACGACTTGGGGAATTTTTCCCTCGTAACATTTTTCATTTTTTTCTTTTTTTCTTTTTTTTCCTTTTTTTGTTCTTTTTAATTTGAAACCTTAAAATTTTGAAAACAAAATAAATAAAATCAAAATAAAATAACGACATGAAAATTTAAAATAAATTTTGATAACGGCAAAAATTCAAAATAAAATAAAATAAAATAGAAAATATTACAATACATAAATTTAAAAGGCCAAAGACTCGAATAAAATGGAGTCTTAATACCAAATGAAGCATAAAGGTGTGGGGCGTCACATTTCCCCCACCTTTAAAAATTTTGGTCCTCCAAAATTGTTTTAAATAGGCGCAAAAATTTCTTCTACATTTTATCTTCCAATTCCCATGTAGCCTCCTCTGGTGTGATGCTACCATCAAACCTTTACCATCGGGATCCTCTTATTGCGTAACACCTTTTCGGTTATCTTAATATCTTAGTCAGGTACTTCGCGTACGCCAGGTTGAAGTTGACAGGAGTTTCCTGAATTGGAATAATCTGATAAGAGTTAAGGTGGTACTTATTTAACATAGAGAGATGGAAGACATTATGCATACTGGTGAACTCTCAAAGTAGAGCGATGCAGTATGCCACAGGGCCAACACATTCCAAAATCTTTATAGGGCCAACATATCAAGGGATCAACTTTTCTTTCTTCCCAAATCTCATAGCTCCGTTAAAGGGAAAGACCTTAATGAACACCTGGTCGCCAACAGCGATCTCCAAAGGTCTCTTATGGTTGTCAACATAACTCTTCTGACAACTTTGAGCAGTGAGAGGTTCTTCTGAATAAGATCCACTTTATCAATAGTCTCTTGGATGAAGTCAAGTCCCTGTGTACTTTCGGTTCCCAATTTCATTCCAACAGGTAGGGGATCGACATGACCTACCGTAAAGAGCTTCAAACATAGTCATACATATGATGGAGTGGTAACTATTTTTATAGCCAAATTCACAAAGAGGGAGGTGTTTGCTCCAATTATTCCTAAAATCTAAAATACAAGCACACAACATATCCTCCAAGATATGGATAGTGCATTCTGATTACCCATTGGTCTGAAGATGATAGGCAGTATTAAAATGTAAGTTGGTACCTAGAGCCTCCTAAAAATTATCCTAGAAGCGGGAAATATATCGGGGATCTCCATCCGATACAATAGAGAAGGGTACACCATGAAGTTGAACAATTTCGTTCACATGCAAATGAACTAATTTACTTACAGAGTCAATGGTTTTGATAGCAAGGAAGTGAGTTGTCTTAGTTAATCCATCCACAATGATCCAAATGGCATCACAACCATTAGTGGTCCTGGATAGACCAATGATGAAGTCAATGGTCACGTATTCCTACTTCTATTCCAAAATGAAAATGTTGTGCAACAATCCATCGAGCCTCTGATATTTAGCCAAAAAGAACAATTACCAAACTTGACATAGATATGGTGCTCACGAAGGGTGATCATGACATGGGTCAAGTGTTCAGCATGCTCCTCCGAACTCTTTGAGTACACTAGGATGTCATTGATGAAGATGATGATGTATTGATCCAATGCATGGCAAAATACTCTATTCATTAAGTCCATAAAGGTTGAAGGGGCATTGGTCAATTCAAATAATATAACTCTAAACTCAAATTAGTCATTCCTATAGTAAAAAACTGTCTTAGGAATGTCTTCTTCCTTCACTCACAACTGATAGTAGCTGGACCGGAGATCAATCTTCAAAAACGACCAAAGTACCTTGTAACTAGTTAA